TGGATCACTGGCCAGCCCTAGCCGGTTTGGCTCAGTCGGCCTGCAGACTGAGGGGTCCCAGGTTGGATTCCGATCGAGGGCATTTACCTTGGTTGCAGGCCCATCCCCAGTCGGGGGTGTGCAGTAGGCAGCTGATCAATGTTTCTCTCTCATCAATGTTTCTCTAACTCTCTCTCTCTCCCTTCCGCTCTGTAAAAAAATCAATAAAATATATTTTAAAAAAAGAAAAAGTAAAACCCTCTTGCCCAGGCCAGTGTCCCCATTGTGGCGCTGCGAGGATCCGAGGTAGGTCGGGTGGTTTGGGCAGGAGCGCATCCTCACTCCGGGAGGTGACGGAGGCGCAGGTTGGTGAAAGGCATGGGAGCCGACCCCAGACCCGGCGGAGGAGTGAGGATGGAACCTCTGCCGGTGCTCGGGCTGAGACCACGCTGCCATCGCCTCCGCGCAGCCACGCCCTTTCTCTTTTGACCTTCAGGTTTTCGGCTGGCGCTGGCTCTTTTTGCAGACTTTACGGATCGTAGGAGACCTGTGTCTCTCCCCTTCGCTCCCTGCAGGCGTGGTCCTCCAGCTCTACCTGTCTTCAGGGCGGTGGAATCCGAGCTGAGAAGCTGCCTCACTCTCCAGAGACACCAGCTGAAGCCAGAGAACATCTGCCCACAGCAGAGAAACCAGTTTTGTGTGTGTGCGTTTTCTCTCCCCCAAATCTGTACCCATCAGCTCTCCCCGTCTTTTCCTTTGACTCTAATGAGACAGCATTGGAGGCAGGCTGGAAACGGATATACAGAGGACCTTCCTTCCGGAAGTTAATCTCACAACTTGGAGATTTTCGCTTAAGTCACCACTACCTGCCGTGCCATCTATGGGATCTCTCTTCGCCAGAAGGCCTAGTTTTGTCACAAACCTGGGATTGAGGGAGACCAGGAAGCTGCAGAAGTTAAGGAGGTTGGGCAGGCAGAGGTGGCTATAGATGTTGTATTTCACCCTCATCAAACTGGGAAAGCATGATATCCAATCTTTAAGTAAATGGTGGAAAGACCCTGGGAGTCAGAGATCTGAGCCACCCAAAAGAAGCATGCACAGGATGTTGCTTTATACTAGAAAGGGGGCTAGCGATGAGTGTAGGGGTTGAGTTAGGACAGTGGTCGGCAAACTCATTAGTCAACAGAGCCAAATATCAACAGGACAACGATTGAAATTTCTTTTGAGAGCCAAATTTTTTAAGCTTAAGCTATGTAGGTAGGTACATTGTTATTAACTTAATTAGGGTACTCCTAAGGCTTAGGAAGAGCCACACTCCAGGGGCCAATGAGCCGCATGTGGCTCCCGAGCCTCAGTTTGCCGCCCACTGGTTAGGGTTATGTTCTGTGGGTGGAGAAATAGCATAACAGTCAGGAATCTTAAATACTAACCTTGGAAACAGTTGGGGGCAGGGAACTGCAAAAATGGTTTGTGAAACTTCTTGCTGTGGAGGAATCCAGAACTCCCCTGAGGGTCCCGCCATGCTGTGGAAGGGCAAAGCTGTAAGTAGGCAAGCCCCAGGGCATCTGCAGTGGTGAGTGTGGTAGATAGATTGGGGTCCTTTCCTGTGAGAGTGGGAAGCAGCTGCTATCCGCGAGGAAGAAAAGGTGCAGAAGGAGAATGGCTATCAGACGGTCAGTGGTGACACATTTTGTGAGGCCTTACTCTCATTTCTGACACTGGTTCTTAACAACGGTCCTAAACCTGGCAGCCTCATTGAGGTTCACAAAGCATGTCCTACGTAACAGTGAGATTGGAATTATCAGGATGGGATCCATTCCT